TATTATTATTATTATTATTATTATTATTATTATTATTATTATTATTATTATTATTATTATTATTATTATTATTATTATTAACTAAATAGTAAATAGTCTATAATAATAAATATATCTAGTATTTAAATAGAAACAAATCTATATTACTTAAATAATTCATAATAATATAAAATATAATAATAATAATAATAATAATAATAATAATAATAATAATAATAATAATAATAATAATAATAATAATAATAATAATAATAATAATAATAATAGAAAAAATAAAATATATATATAACTAGAGTTCATTATTTATTTTATAATTTTTTTTATTTTCCTATGAATATTTTTTTATAAAAAATAAAATGATTTTAATAAAAAAATTAAATAATAATAATAAAAAAAAAGAAAAAAAAAATTTAAATAAGCTCGAGCTCGAGCTCGAGCCAAAAAAAATTGGCTCGATGAGCTCGAGCTCGAGCTCGAGCTGGCCAAAAGAGCCGAGAGCTCAGCTCGTTCCCACTCCTATTTCCAGGCCTCAACCGCTCCGCAACTTCCCTCAAAACCGCCCAAAAGCTGGTTTTCGAGGCCCATCTTGATCGGGCGCGCGCGCATGTCAAACGGCCCAAAACAGCCCGGCCGGTTGCTAGGCAGCCCATCTGCCTTGCCTTTTCCGCACGTTTTGCTTGCCTTGCCAATCATTTGCTAGTTCTTTGCCCACACGGTCATTAGCACGCCCGCACATCGGGCTGCCTTCATTGACTTGCCAATCGGTCGTGCCAACTTGCCCACACTTGTCAAATCGTGGTTGATTTCCCTCGAACGTTCATTTGCCCAAGTTCTCGGCCACATACCGATTACTGCCCACGCTTGTCCGCATTCGCTGCCGAGCAACGCCCGTACCAGCCATAAGTACTATCGATCACCATTCCCACTTGAATCAAGCCGTTACTTGCTTTCTCGGACAAACACCCTAAATGCTTGCCCAACACTCGACCACTCATTGGCCGATTGTGTTTGTTGTCTTGTGCCAATCCTCACTTGGCACCATTTCTCGGCCACACTCGAGTCATAGCCGATGTCACCGACTAAGGGGGTAACAGACCTCCCCCACCAACGGTGTTCGACGCCCTCGTCGAACCGAAACTATCAGCTTCAGCTTTCCCTCGTTTCCACTTGTCATGCCACCGTCTTCGACTGTGTTTGATCAACAACACCACATCGAAACCCAAATTCCAATTCTGATTCCACGAACTTCCCACAAATTCTTTCAGCCCTCGGAAAAACGAACGCCCATCACGTTCTAACAGCAGCACCAAACCACAAGGGAAAATGCTAGCTTTAGGCATGACTAGCATTTTATCTCGATTGCCACACCAATCAAGAAAGGATACCTCCAGCCCACGGAAATCACCCAAACACGGCTTCCATTTTATCAACAACAGAAACCAGCCCAACAAAAATCCAACACGCAATGGCAATTTAGAAAATACCACATTTCGAACCCACGAATTATGCCACACACGGCAGCAACTTGGAACAAAAGTAAGGCCCCATTGCCCATTCATAAACCCAAATGAATACCTCAACTTGCCTTCGGCCCTAGCCTCATTTCTCGGCAATGCACGTACAAGCAAACCAGCCCGAGAATTCACCGTTTTGTTTCCAACGGCTGCAATTAGGCTCGATGACTCCTCGTCGTTCGATTCTGCCTCATATTGCACCGCAACCAACATTCCCACCGGTTTCTTTCCCGCCTTTGCTTTAGTCACGTACGAGCATTCAACGAAACATGGACACTCTTCGTCCATAATCATCAACCCTCCGAGAAATGGTATCACCGCAGTTTTGGCAGCTAGTAGGAACTCTTGCCCCAATATCACATCGAAATCGTCTAGTGGTACGGCCGCCAATCCGCACTGCCCTTTCCAAGAACCGATCACTAAATCAACATCGAATATGCCATTCACCGGCCCCGCCTCTGAATTTACAGCCTTAACTTGACTTGCATGTTTTGAGAGAGTCAAGCCCAGCTTCTTGACTTCTCTTTCGACAACGAAGTTGTGTGTTGCTCCCGAATCAACCATCGCCTTCACTTATTTGCCATTGATCAGCACCGTAGCATACATTAAGCCCTTGGTGCCGTTGGGTGCCTTGTCCACGACCAACGCACTCAACAACTGAATCGGATTTGCACGCCTCGTCTCATCCGACTCTTCCTCACTATCCGACTCCCGCATCAAAGCATTCAACTTGCTCATCTTAGGACAGTCCCTTATCTGGTGGTTGCCATCACATAGAAAACAACCACGGTTTTGTTTGTTGACAACGGGTTTTCCACCGGCCTTGGCCTGCACCGTGGATCCCTCGCCATCACCGCTCTCTTTTTGCTTCCAATTACGGCCACCCTTGCCACCGAACTTCTTTCCCTTGGACTTATCCTTCTTCTAACCTTCCTTATCGGAATCATCGGCCCCCATCACCTTGTAATCGACAAGTCGATCTGCTGGCGAAATAGCACTTGGCAAATCTTTCACACCTTGTCTTCGCAACTCGGTTTGAGCCCATGGCTGCAATCCAGCCATGAAGTTGAACATTTTATCTTCATCGGACATATCACGTATCTCAAGGAGCAGCGAACTAAAATCTTTGACATACTCCCTCACGGTTCCCTTGTGCTTCAATTGCCTAAGGGATTCCCTTGCAATCCAGCCCACGTTGCAAGGAAGGAATTGCTCTTTTAATTCCCGTTTCAGCACTTCCCAAGTCTCGATCTTTACTCGGTTAGCACTTGCATCGTCTGACAAACGAGCACGCCACCACAATTTTGCATCACCCGCTAGATACATACTTGTAATGGTCACTTTCTCGCGATCCGGAACCTTTGCTGCCTCGAAGTAATTCTCCATATCCCACGCGAAGTTTTCGAATTCTTTGGCACTGCGCACACCATGAAACGCAGTCGGTTCCGGCACACGAACTTTGGATCTCGACGTTCTGCTCTCAGAACTTGATCCATCATTTCGAACAGCCCTTTTCAACACCATCAAATCTGTAAGCATTATATTCCCTCAAGCTTCGTCTCAACAACATCAATGAGAAGTCCCATCTCCTCGGCAACGAACGTGAATCTGCCCTCGACAAATTGGGGCATATCATTCAACGATCTTGACAAACGATCGAGTTCTTGCTTCCCATCAGCAAGTCGTTGCAAGATTGGTGGATCCGTTGGATCTTGGGGCGGCCCAACCAAGGCTTCAAGACGTTGCAGCCTTGATTCCATCTCTAGCATCATCACACGAGTAGGATTTGGATTTGTCGAAGATCCAGAATCGTCAGCCATGCCGAACATCAACACGTTCAGAACCCTTGAATCGGGCTCTGATACCAACTGTCACAGGGGTTTCTTTGATCAAGAAATTTTCGCCCGTGCGGCCTGATTTGCCCACCAAATCAGTCAGCCTTCCTCTCGATTCTCTTCGTAGAAAACGCAGAAACACAAGTCTTTTAAGCCAACGTAAACGAGAACAAGAGTAAGCAGCAGAAAACAACACACAAGCACGTTTACGTGCAATGCCCAACCTTTATATTAATTTCCCACAAAGAATACAAAGAAGACTAAGGTGCATACACAAAATCCTCACTCAGAATGCCCACAATTGCAATCTGAACTCTCTAATGCTAGATGGATCGGAGTTGTGCACTCATAGCCATATAAATACAAGGAAGAAGGTAGTTTTCACATAAAACTACGTAAGGACACTTGGCAGCATACATGCTTGACACTTGGCTAACTATTACAAGTAATAAGGGACAGTTTTTCATGCTTTCCAGGCCTCAACCGCTCCGCAACTTCCCTCAAAACCGCCCACAAGGCTGGTTTTCGAGGCCCATCTTGATCAGGCGCGCGCGCGCATGCCAAACGGCCCAAAACAGCCCGGCCAGTTGCTAGGCAGCCCATTTGCCTTGCTTTTTCCGCACGTTTTGCTTGCATTGCCAATCATTTGCTATTTCTTTGCCCACACGGTCATTAGCACGCCCGCACATCGGGCTGTCTTCCTTGACTTGCCAATCGGTCGTGCCAACTTGCCCACACTTGTCAAGTCGTGGTCGATTTCCCTCGAACGTTCGTTTACCCAAGTTCTCGGCCACATACCGATTACTGCCCACGCTTGTCTGCATTCGCTGCCGAGCAACGCCCGTACCAGCCATAAGTACTATCGATCACCGTTCCCACTTGAATCAAGCCGTTCCTTGCTTTTTCGGACAAACACCCCAAATGCTTTCCCAACACTCGACCACTCATTGGCCGATTGTGTGGTTGTCTTGTGCCAATCCTCACTTGGCACCATTTCTCGGCCATGACTCGGCCACACTCGAGTCATAGCCGATGTCACCGACTAAGGGGATAACACATAGGCTAACGGGTCTACAGTCAGTAGATATAAATCATTATTTGGAGAAAATCGAAATATGTTAGTCTTGGCTGAATACTTAATCAGCGCATAATAAAAATATCGAGAATAATATATCATAGGATAAATTACACCTACACTTCTGAATTGTTCTAAAATAACTTTAAGGTTCCTGTAAAATTGGTAATTACAGCCATGTTCTAAAACTATTACCGGAGCCGAGATTTTATGTCTTGTGAACTCATGTGCACTATATTCTTTTCGAGCGCCATTCATGCTACCATAGATGAAAATATTGTAAACTTATATATAATAATAAGAATTGAAGAAATATTAGGAGAGCCATGTCACCCCTCTAGTTCTATGTTGTCTCCACCACTGCTTGAAAAATAGTCCGTTAGAACTTAGAACCCTAACGAAATAGCTTATCTAATGCATTATTTTGTTAAGGGTTTCTAACAATGTTTCACGGAGTGATTGTAATTACCGATACTATATGAACCTTAAATTTATTTTAGCATATCTCAGACGGTGCAGGTGTAATTTACTTTATATATTATATATGTAATTTACTCTATATTTTAGCATACCGCATCTTTGATCTTTCAAACACGACACCGCCACAGAAAAGAGAAAAACGTGTCTCTCTGAGAGAAATGATGCTCAAAATCACCACAGCCACAACTTCCACCACCACCATTTCCTCCTCCCCACGCCTCCTCTCATCTCTCCCCAAATTATCCTTCCTTAAACCCTTCAATCCCCACCGTGCTCCGCCCATCAGACGCCCTACCATCTCCACCTCGCCGAGAATGAGTTGGCTCAACAAGTTCGGCCTCGCCGCCCGCTCCCCCACCGACTCCTCCTCCTCCTCCGCCGTCTGCCAGGGCCCCGACGACGATTCACCTGCTCCGGGTCAGCAGTTCGCTCAAATCGGGGCGGGTTGTTTCTGGGGCGTCGAATTGGCGTTTCAGCGCGTCCCCGGTGTCACGAAGACGGAGGTCGGGTACACCCAAGGCTATCTGGATAACCCGACTTACGAGGATGTGTGCTCCGGTACCACCGGCCATTCGGAAGTGGTTCGGGTTCAGTATGACCCGAATGAGTGCAGATTCGAAACCCTGCTCGACGTTTTCTGGTCCCGCCACGACCCGACCACTCCCAATCGCTCGGTGATTTTTTATTTTTTTTTAATCCTTCTCTTTAATTTTGGGTTTTATGTGATTAGGGTTTGGTGATTCACCGTTAGGGTTTGATTTCTTTTGATATATTTTTGAAGGGCTGGTTACAGTACTATAGAAACTGGATTCGAAATATTCGTATTCGTATTCGATCGCTTAAAATTGTTCGATTGATTGCGCAAAATTGGATGTGAAATAAGAAACTAAGAAACGACGAGGTTGTAATCTGAATTACAGTTTCTTTTCCTCTATTTGGGCTTATTTGATGGGGTTTTTTTAATCGATTTTGCTGTGAACTTAATGTGGATTTATGAATTGAACACTAAATAATCATCTATGCGATGACTGCAGCTGTCGGAATTGGAGTTAGCTGCTATTTGACATGTTTTTTGTGAATCCTAGGTGATTGTCAAATGTTTCTTTGCTGCATATTGTTTCATTGTATGTGTTGTCGCTTCAACTCTAAATTACAGTGTGAGGTTTACATCCACCTTAAAATTAAGGCTCGTTTGGCTAAGCTTATTTTAAGAGCTGAGAAGTAGTTACATCTTATTTTTAGAATTAATTTTTAAAATGTTTGGATAATGATCTTATTTTGCTCTCCAACAGCTTATTCAAAAAAAAAATTAAGATATTTTCTTAAAAAATTACCACTCATGGGAAGAGCTTATAAGCTCATTTTAACATCTTATAAGCTAAGCCAAACACCCTCTTAGTCTTTTGGTTGTTACCATTTTTGGCTTGAATACTTGTTCACTATCAAAACCCTACTTGACAGATAGATAGAGATCTGGCTTATTTGGTTCCCGTTTGAGAGCTTGGCTTTCTTGTTGGTCATCTATTTGGGTATTTGATCGTAAATTACGTATCCAACTGCACATGCCTTGTAACATATTATTCGCTCTCGCTCTATATATATATATATATATATATATATATATATATATATATATATATATATATATATAGGTCAAGAAGAGCCAATATTTGCTTTACGTCGGTCAGTTTCGTGCAATTATTTTTTTATTTTGTCCGAAAAACAAGAACCGTTTCAATTGCTATGTAGATAAACAATATAGTTCTAAATTCAATTTACAATCGCGCTGGGTAATGGCGCGAGTCAAAAACTCGGATAAACAATAATCGGAATACTTGTTTTTTATTGTCCGATCATATCATACTTTGCTTGCGATGGAGCATTATAATGAAGTCGGTTTTTGGTCTTATCGTATACAGGGGAATGATGTAGGAACTCAGTACAGATCCGGGATATACTTCTACACACCCGAGCAAGAAAAAGCGGCATTGGAGTCGAAGGAAAGGCAACAAAAGCTAATGAGCAGGAAAATCGTAACTGAAATACTTCCGGCCAAGAAATATTACAGAGCAGAAGAATATCACCAGCAATACCTTTCCAAGGGCGGTCGACTCGGATCCAAGCAATCTGCCGAGAAAGGCTGCAACGATCCAATTAGGTGCTACGGCTAAAATTCCGAAAGGTGGTAATATATAATAAGGGGATGGATTTATATTATGTGGTTTCTGAATAAGTTATCCTTGGCACTTTTTTTTTTACCTTGTTGTGGCGCGGTGAGAAGTGTTGTATATTTTGCGAATGTTGTTTCTGGGCATGTAATAATATTTGTTTTAACTTATTTCATTAAATCTCTGGTTTTTAATAAAAGTTCGGAGAATAAATAAATTTGTACCCTTGTTTTAGCTGTTTACAGATTTTTAGAATGTGCTTGTAGAGAACATTGCATAATAATAATTATTCCACATGTGAAAAGATTAAGAAGCCAATTTTTGCCATGATGGTGTTTTGTTTTTTGGTAGTTTTAATTATTATTAATTAAACTTAAAGGTATAATTAAATTTTAACACTCACTTGATTTTTTTAAAACAAAGTTAGTAAAATCCAATGTTTTCAGAACCGGACCGGCTATAGAACCGATTTTTTTATAACAAACTTAGTAAAATCCAATGTCGATCATTTGGGTCATGGGTTTATAGGGTCAAACCGGTTCAACCGGGTTTTTGATTTTTTGTTAATATGCTATTATTTATTCAATTTTAAGGTTTTAAAAATATTATTTTCTTTATGTTTTTAATCTCCCACTTATTATTTTCACTTTTATCTACTACACCTCACCCTATACGATATTTATTGCTTAACTCTATTTTTTCATTATTATTTTCACTTTTATCTACTTCACCTCACCTTATACGATATTTATTGCTTAACTCTATATTTTTTCATTTTTAAGTTAGTGAAGGTTCGCTCAAATTAACTTAGCGGTGATTCGAGACGTTTTGGCCGAAACCGGGTTCCTTGACTGACTGGCCGAAACCGGGTTCCTTGATTGACTCGCTGGTTCTCGGGTTCTACCAGGTCGAACCGGATTTTGGTCATTTGACCCCAATTTTCGATTTTTTCGGTTTTAGATGTCAGACCGGACCGTTTTATTGCCGGGTCACAGTTGAACCGGTCCAACCGGACTGTTCGGTCCGGGTCTAACAACAGTGGTAAAATCCAATTTCATTACAAACTCGAATTCCTCTTAGTTGTTAAATTACTCTTTATAAAACAGTCTATTTGAATAGTGAACAAAGTAGATATTGAAAAAAAATGCTGGTTTCAAACAATTGAAATAATTCAAATATAGAAACTATGATTATGCTTTTATACATGAATGAATAAATCAATATCAAATGGAAAAATTATATTATCTACAATAAAATCTGAGATAAACTACAATAACTAAGTGTACAAGATGAATAAATCACTAGACCAGAATAACAATTCTGGAGCTATTCAATCAGTACAAGGATTTTCAATTCAATCTTCTAAAACCGATATCCACCACGAAGCCACCTCATCATATCTTCCATCTGACAAGAAAAAAGAAACCAGGCAATGAACTTTTCACATTTAAATTTTTAAATCTATAAACAACAATTAAAAAACACAAAAAATTGTTAAAAAGAAACTGTTTTTAAAAATAGAAATCACAAATTAAATTAGAGAATTAGGTCATCATCAGAATAAGATTCATTTTCATTCGCAACAGCGTCCAAAGGTGTCCTAAGATTAATTAAAATATTCATCACTTGATAACCAATTCCCCAAAATTTAAAAAAAAAAATCTAAATTTGCAAAACACAAAATGACAGTTAAAAGTGAAGAACATGATTCAGCAGCAGATAGTATCATCACTATAGTTCAGTCCAAGTGTTGAATATTTTTATAATTGCTTCATCCTCATCGATTCAATACCAAAATTCAAAAATCAAATAAAATCAAATAAAATTAAGAAAAATAAAAGATTAATAATAGAGGGAAAATATATAGACTCAGTGGTGGCAATATTGTAATTGGTTCGATTCTGCCGCAGATCGTCCTCAGAATATTTCAGAAGAGGGAGCTTGTTATCCTCATCGCTATATATTTTCCCCAATCTCAATTAAAAATAAAAATCAGAATTTTCAAATAAATTTAATAAATATATATATATATATACATATATGTATGTGAAAGAGAGTAAAATTAAAAATAAAAATCAGAATTTTCAAATAAATTTAATAAAAATATATATACATATATGTATGTGAAAGAGAGTAAAGGCTCAGTTCAGCGGGTTTATCGACACGCAAGTAATCATCTCTAGAGAGAGAAACCTGCAATCCGGTCTGTTGAGCTTGAATTTTTTGAGTCGTCACTGCCATTTACTCTCTCTCTATCCATAAATCAATCAATCAATATATTAATAAAAATTGAAATCAATACATTGGAAAAAAGTACTTGAGAAGAAATTTCAGATCAGATGTAGGAATAGAAGATTTATATTTGTGAAGAAGAAGGGTGCTGCTGCTTGTGGTGAAATAGATGTGTTAGTGTGCGGTATATAAAGGGTGGATTAGGGTTTACACATCCGAGAATGGAGGGGTTTCGTTTTTGCTTAATGGGCTGGGCTTATTCCACCAAGCGTCACAAACTCTGAGTACTGTTCACTGCGCAATTTTGCCTTCAATAAGGACTCACAAATCACAATTAATGGTTTATATTATTATTATTATTATTATTATTATTATTATTATTATTATTATTATTATTATTATTATTATTATTATTATTATTATTATTATTTATTATTATTATTATTAGGGTAAATTACAAGCACCCCTGAGGTATGGTCAAATTACAAAAACACCCCTCTTGTTTGGATAATTACAACCACCCCCTCAACTCATCAAATTTAGTGCAATCTTCGAGATTATATGGAATATTATCACTTTTGTACCCCTTTTATCCCATTCGAACTCTACGTTATAAAACAAGATGATCATAATATGTGATTTTTAACTTGGCTATATCGATTTGCGGTGCATCGAAAACTGTATTTTTTACACAAAAAGAGTACAAACTAGAGCACATTTCACGGAATCTAGATGACTATGTTGAATTTGGCACCATAAAGGTGGAGGGAGGTCTAAGAAAAAATCATAGTTGAGGGGTAGATGTAATTATCCAAACAAGAGGGGGGTTTTTGTAATTTGACCATACCTCAGGGGGTGTTTGTAATTTACCCTTTCTTTTTTTAGAATAATGGTTTATCTTATTGTCATATATATATATATATATATATATATATATATATATATATATATATATATATATATATATATATGTATTTATTGGATGATAAATACAATAGTGATCTTTATGTTTTTCTCTTTAATTAATTTGAGTGTACGACCTAGAGCTTCAGCGAACTTCGGGAGTTCGTATCCTAGACCTATGTTTGGGTTGGGAAATTCGGTTCTCCATCAATAGTTAAGGCCCGCCCATTAACGGAAAAACGTCAACACAAAGATCCTTAATTAGAATTCTCCTAATAGCACATGAGAAAAAGAAAAAAAAAATGTTTATTGCCCTATATCAACTTTACAACATAAACAAAACAAAATTCCAATTATAAGTATATGATATCATCTACACAGCAATGCACGTTTTATTTTGCAAGTTAAATATAGCTCTGTAGCTTATGCTCTGCAACAGTTTTCTGACTTGAGCATTGAAAGACAATCATTTGGCATATTCACGTATCACCTAGTGTTTCTTATTTACTTGGTAAGTTAACGAGCGGAATTCACTCATTGAACCACATCAGACACATGACATCATGACTCGTGGCATGCTCTACTTTCCTAAGCTGACATTCTCTACTCTTTTGAGTTCAATGACTCTTGGAATTGTCTAATCGGTATTGATCAACATCAATATTAATTAAGACTCCGACTAAAGAGAAAAATAGATCAAACTCAGCTAACATCAACTGAAGTTTGAATAAGTTTTTTTAGGACTGTACACTAGACATGGCCACGGGCCGGGTCGGGTCCGGGTCCGGGTCGGACCCGCCGGGTCCGCGTCCTATTTTTTCGGGACCCGAAACCGACCCGCGTGGGTCCGGGTCCGGGTCGGGTCCACTCGGGTCGTCCGGGTCCGGGCCGGGTCCGGGTCCAAAACCGATTCTTGAATTTTTTATTTTATTTTTTTTAATTTTATTTTCACATATATCAAAAAAAGGAAAAAAAAAAAGATAAATTTAAAGAGAATTGTGAATTGAGAGATTAGAGAGAATTGTGAGTGAATTGGTGAGAAAATTGAGAGGGGATGAAGGGAATTTATAGGTAAAAAAAATGTGGAAAAAAAAAAAAAAATTAAAAATTTAATTCGACCGGTCGGGTCCGGTTCGGACCCGAGTTTATAGCCGTTGAAATAAAAAAAAAAAAAAAAAAAAAAATTGAATTTCCGGGTCGGGTCCAGGTGGACCCGAGTTTATAGCCGTTGAAATTATAAAAAAAAAAAAAAAAAAAAAAAAAATTGAAATTTTCGGGTCGGGTCCGGGTGGACCCGAGTTTATAGCCGTTGTAATTTAAAAAAAGAGACATTTTTTGAATTCCCGAACCGGGTTCGGGCCGGGTCCGGTTCGGGTCCGAGTCAGGTCCGGTTTATAACCGTTGCATTTTTAAAATTTGAAAAAAAAAATATTTTTTTTATTCGGGTGGACCCGACGGGTCCTCGGGTCCACCCGTCGGGTCTCGGGTCCTAAATATCGGGACCCGAAACCGACCCATACATTTTCGGGTCCGGGTCCGGGTCCGGGTCCATGGTCGCCGGGGCGGGGCCGGGTCGGGTCCGGGTCCGACCCGGCCCGTGGCCATGTCTACTGTACACCATATATATATGTGTCGGTATATATAGTCGATAAAAAATAACAATACATATATACAATGCATACAACATTGATGATGCTAATATGTAGCTCACCTAAGGTGGTATAGAAAATGAGTTGGGAGAGCAAAGCAGATCAGTAGCTTGACAACTTGATGATCCTGAGGTACCTGCCAAATGAGCACACATGAACTAAGCCGGGGGTTGATCCGGCGGAAACCCCTCCGACGCTCAAGTCAGGCGTGCTGATAGTGGAAATAATCCAGAGAATACAGTTAATAGTATTACTCAGTTCATAGGACGTACCTTAAGGAATGAATTCAAACCTTTATTTATAGCTTAGTTGAGATTGTCGGGCCCAAACCTTACTTGAAGGTGATTGGGTCTCGGTGATAGTGGTCTTCGATATTGGGCTCGTGGCCCAGTAGGTAAGTAATTTGTAGGCCCATTGGGTTGGTCCAATTATGCATATCAAACATTATTTTTATAATTATAGTCTCGAAAACAAAAAAATCAGATGAATTATTTTCGGAAAAAAAATTTTGTGGGAATTTTCCAAGATTCGAAACTTTTTGAAAAGAAAATCAAAAATTAGAATTTCATAAATCAAGAGGATTTTTTTTTCTTTATAAAATCAACACTATTCTGGTCGGATGCAATTAAGAAATATCATTCTAGCTCCAAAAGGCGAAATCCCTCGCCCCCAGGGCCCCCATCCCTTGGTCCGACAAGGATTGATGGAGGAATATAAATCATGGTAACTCAAGGCCCGTTAAGGTAGCGGACCCGGACCTGGTGCCCACAAAGAACCAATCTCATTGGAGTTGAAATTCCCACACTGCGGCTGCCAGGATTCGATCCTAGGACCTTGCTCCAACTTACCACCTCCGGAACCAGTTGAGCTACACCCATGCGGGCTAAGAAATTTCATTCTAATTTCCACGCATCTCAAACCACTCAAATTTAAGTACTAAGTAAGACCTAACATATCACCATATTATATGCAAGTACAATAATTTATGAATTTCAAGTCACTATACGATAGACTAATTTAATGTATTAATTAATCACATGGTAACAATCTTGAACAATTTTTCTCTCCAATTTAATAAATCCCGATTTCTATTTTTTTTTTCATTATTCTCTTGAATGAAAGTGGAATTAGTTTTCGAGTTTGTTGCATTCAATACCCTATATTATGTTAAATTGCTAAAAGAATCCTCGTGATATTAAAATTTGCAAGACCCACCCCGCATCATATTTTTCATCACACAATCCCAAAGTGGTGAGTTTTTACGGTGCTTTGCCAAAATAAAAGTGTATAAATAGTGGTCTTTTTGCTAACACATGAGTGCTTAATACAATAAATTCGTAGTTTTTCGCTGCAAACTCTTATTTCCCCTCTTTCTTTGTAAGTTCTAGTCACAATCCAATCCATTCAATTTATGTCGTATTTGTAGGTTCTTAGAGGAAAAGAAAGACATTGTATCTATTGGTTGAACTAGAAATAAATTTATCCAATATGTCAATTTCAAGGGAAGCAAAATACTATATTTATATCCCGAATAATATTATCCATTCTTATGAAGCATTTCACATCTGAAATAACAATTTTCAATTTATCAATTATTATTATTATTATTATGGGGCACAACAAATGTTGTCTTCATCAAACAATCCTCAACACATAAATGCAGGACCACTACATACTTCACACAAAGGGATGAAATTCATTGTCACTAGTAAACTACGGAGTACAAAGAACGTTATGAATATAGGGTCCAATGACAATGCCACCTTTATAATTTATTTATGGGTAAATTACAAACACCCCCCTGAGGTATGGTCAAATTACAAAAATCCCCCTCTTGTTTGGATAATTACATCTACCCCCCTCAACTATGATTTTTTCTTACACCTCCACCCTTATTGTGCCAAATTCAACATAATCATCTAGATTCCGTGGAATGTGCTCTAATTTGTACTCGTTTTGTGTAAAAATACAGTTTCCGATGCACCACAAACTGATATATACAAGCTAAAAATCACATATTATGATCATCTTACTCCATAATGTAGAGTTTGAAAGGGATAAAACGGGTACACAAGTGATAATATTCCACATAATCTCGAAGATTCCACTAAATTTGAGGAGTTAATGGGGTGGTTGTAATTATCCAAACAAGAGGGGTGTTTTTGTAATTTGACCATACCTCAGGGGGGTGTTTGTAATTTACCCTTTATTTATTTATTTATTTGTAACTATC